AGATAATGGAAAAAGTGCAGCTACGACTTTCTCTGGCTGCTTCTACTGCCTTACCCCCTGCACCCCCCCCCCCACCACCGATTTGGATGCTAATACCAAAGTGGATATTTAGAAAAAAAAATGTTTCTTGACTGGGCTGCTTTCCAATTCACTGTGCTTGCTTTGCTTGCATGCAAATTTAGTAGGAGTGCAGATAGAGCTCTCATCATTCACAGAACTATTGGGTAATGATAGCTGGGCTCAGCTGATTCTGTCTCTTCTCATAGGTCAAGGTCAGCATGCCATTAAGTTAGGAGTGTGACATCCAAGTTAGGCTAATGAAGTGAGGCCTAGATTGGAATTTAGCTCCCTGATTGACTAGTTGGTTATACTAGAGCAAGTAATTTCTCTGAGCCTCCCTGGCCTCATTTGTTAAATGGGAGGGTTGCTGTGAAGAGTCTAATTTCAATTTAGTAGCCTAGGTAGGGCCATCGGTTGGAGCCAGTATGAAGCAGAAGATGTCTAAATGGGATTGCTAATAGTCATTTTCATGTAGACAGACTTTGAGAGTAAATACTAAGAAGGGTTCCTTGCAGAAAAGTTGACCTGTCTTTACATATCTTTGTTTATCCTGGGGTGAGACTTTAAAGAACAACTACTAAATTTGTGGCAATTTAGTTGTTGTAATATTGTTTCCATATCTGCTAGCTCAGTAAATATTTATCGAGCAGTTACTACTTTTGTGTTAGATACTATTCTAGGTACTCCGGATACCTTGACCAAAAGCAAACTAACCCACACATGTGTTAGGAGAGAGAAAGCGGTGGGGTGTGTGGGGAGTAGGGTGGTTGGGTTAGTTGTTCTCTTCAGCAGACCTTGGGGTAAGTGAAGTACCAGGCTATCTGGACATCTTGGGGAAATGATTTTTCAAAGCAGAAGAGAACATATCTCTCGAATAAGTGCTTGAAGATAAATTTAGTTTATTACATTTTTCTTTTTTAATATAAAACAATAAAAAGACCTCACAGAAATTTTCACTTATAATCTATTATCCTGTTCACCTAATACAACATAAAAAATTTCCCTACCTCAGTTTTTCTAGTTATTTATGCATCTATAAATACAAATAATATAAATATAACGTGCATATATAAATTATAGTGTATGTAAAGTTGTTTTTTCTCCCCTGAAACATTTCCCCACATTACTCTACATAATAGTATAATCAGTTTAATAATATCAGTTATTCCACTAGAGTTTTATGTAAACAAGTTATAAAAATAACTATGTACCTGAGAATGTTCAATGGGGCATTATTTATAGTTACAAATATTGAAAATAATTAAATGTGTTCCAAGTAGTATATTTAACTTCTTTCTGGTGTGTTAGTAGTGATGCAATGAATATCTTCAAATATAACATTTTCTTCTTTTGAAATAATTTGTATGGATTAGTTTCCAGGATCAAGATAACTCTATCTTTTGAGAACAATTCTTGACGTATATTATTAAATGACATTTCAAAGGAATAATTGCATTTAAACTTATTACCAGGACTATATTAATATTTAAACAATTCCATACATTTTCAGTTTTGGGTATAATCACTTAATACTATTTTTACTACTTAGCTAAGATTAGAAATTAAAATAATAATTAACAAAAAGTAGAACTTCATTTATTTTTTGAGAGTCATGGCTTACTTATAATGTCAAACATATTACTACTGAAAGTATTTCTTCTTGGACTATTGGTCTATTTGTGAAGGGGACTTATTTTGAAGTGTTTAACTGAGTAATCACTATGAGTTTCTTGTACCATTATCTGAGCATAGAATCTGTAAAATTGAGGCCAGAGGTTTTCTAATAAATACTTAACATGGAATTTTAATGTGTAAAAGAGAAAGTAAAAATTAAGCTTGTGAAAGAGAAAGCATTTATGCCTCCATAATTGATTAAAAAAATTTGTTATGGAAATTTTTAAGTACCAAAGTGTATCCTTATCTAGCTTCAATAAGTATCAACATTTTGTCAAACAAATTTCCTCTAATCCCCACCCAGCCATCACCCTTTTTCTTGCTGAAATATTTAAGTAAATTCTAGAAATTATGTAATCTCACCATTTAAATACTTTAGCATGCATCATCTTAACTAAGGACTTTTTAACAAAAATAACTTCACACAATGAAATCAATAAATATTCCTCATTATCACTGAGAACCCATATCCAAATTTTTCAAATGTCTACAAATGGCCCCAAATAGCCAGAGCAACTCTGAGAGAAAAGAAGGAAAATGGAGGTATCACACACCCTACTTTAAACTATACTACATAACAACAGTAATCAAAACAGTATGGTATTGGCACAAAAATAGAAATATAGACCAATGGAATAGACTAGAAAGCCCAGAAAAAAGCCCATACAAATATGGATAGTCAATATTTGATAAAGGAGCCATGACCATCTAGTGGAGAAGAAAGCCTCTTTAAAAATGGTGCTGGGACACATGGATGATTCATACAAAAAAATGAAACTAGACCCTTACTTAACTCCATACACAAAAATAAATGCAAAATGGAGTAAAGGTTTGGATTTAACATCTGAAGCCACAAAAGAAAACAGAGGGGGTGCCCTCTTGGACATCAACTACAAAGATGTCTTTGGGGATGCAATCCCAACAGCAAGGGAAACAAAAGAAAAAATAAGCAAAGGAGATTACTTCAAACTGTAAAGCTTTTGTGCCTCACAGAAGCAAAAGGCTACTACAGACTGATAGAAAATATCTACACATCATATATCAGATAAAAGGGTTAATTTAAAAAATATGTGAAGTACTTATATAACCCACAAGATAAAAATAGACAACCTGAACACATTCTTAAATGTCATTTAGTTGGTTTGTTTGAATCAGGATCTTAGCAAGGAATATGTATTGTAGTTGACTGTTTTTTTTTTCTCTCAAACTTAAACATCTGTAACAATCTTTGCTTTCCCACATTTACCATTGATTTATTAAGAAACTGCAACCTGTGTTCTGTAAAATGTCTCATATTCTTTAGTTGACTAACTGCTTCCTCATGATGTTAATTCATCTGTTTACTTTAACCAGCCCTCCTTTCCCTTCTGTATTTTGGTAAACTATTAGCTTAGATCTAGAGACTTGATTAGGTTGAGGTTCAATATTTTGGGAAGTTAGGGGCAAGAATAGGTTTCGGAGGGTAGATTCCATGTACTTCTTATTGAATCACATCAAGAGATTAGCAATGACTGGTGCCTACTTTTACTCATGCTAAGATTGATCACTGGTTTCAAATAGCATCAGCCTGATTTCCCCATTTGAAAGTCTCCTGTTGATGATTACTGCCTACATTCAATGATCTAAGTGTCTAAATCATAAAATCTGCATTGATTTCTACATTTATTAGCTTGAATTATATAAAAGGTAATTTTCTATCATCAACTATTTGCTTATCTTGAAATACATCTCACAAAGAAAAGTCGGGGTAAATGTTTGACCATTCCCTTTGTAAAAGTAACGACTGAGTTCATTGGCAATACCTAGTGGAGACTAATGAGGTTTAATTTTCTAAATGTTATTATGAACGATGGAGTTACATATAGTTGACGTTTTGATGAATTGCAGTAGTTTTGTTCATTCTTAAATTGCTTTATGTGAGTCATGGTCCCCTCAAGTACTTTACTGTATACTTTTGATGTGATACCAATAATCTACAATGTCTTTCTGTTTTCTTGGCACATCAAGATATTCAGGCTTATCTTGTCAATCCTGTCCCATTCATGAAATCATCTGTTTCTTTAAGGAGACTTGGCTTTCAGTGGGAAACTGTATTTAGAAACCACACTCTGGGCAATAGGAGTGTCCATTCCTTCTGGGATATCATTGCTTTGAGGTTATTTCCTAGACCGCTTAAAATCCATTTTTAAAAATATTTCTAATTTATGCGTAAGATTACAGGTTCCCCCCCCCAACCCCATGTTTTATTTTATATGGATGCTCTTTTTTTCACACTGAAAATTTTGCTTACCAAGTGCATTACTACACTTCTCTAATCAAACTACTGTGCTTTAAATGTGCTTGAATGAATCATGACTTTTCTTTGGTGATATTGCCAGTTTAATATGCAGTTAAGCTAATTTTTTTCAACTCAATTCAATTTTTAAGGATTGATTATTTTTGTGTTTTTTAATGCTATAAAACAAAAATTTAAATCATGCATGTATTTAAGAGTGCTTTGTGTTAGCTATATTTTTCTGAGCTATAATTAGCAACTATTTTCCTCAATTTGTCTTTGGCTTTTTAAATCAGGTATAAGGCATTCTTTTTTTAATGTATCTAAATGTATTTCTCTTTAGCTTACTTTTGGAATTTGAACCATATTTGTGACAGTTTTCTCATTCCCTGATTAAATAGGGCTCTATCCATTCATAATTCAAGTATCTGTGTGGTTTGAATGATTAAATCACTTAGATATTACATCTGCTTGGAAATTATTATTTAATAGCTCTTTATTTATTTTCAAACATTAGGCATTTTCCCCAAGATACTGTTTTAGAAACTGGAGATACAATGTGACAAGACCAACAGTATCTAGTTTCTCTTAGAGTTAGTGTTTCACTGAAGGAAGAGACACCACATGGATGATTTCAGAAAAGCTGATGTCTGGGCTGATGTCTGAATCACAAGAGTTAACCAGCCCTGTCCAGTCCTGGGCAGAGCAGTCCAGGTTAAGGGAATACCTAGCAGCAAGGCAGGTAGAGGAATAGACCTTCATGCTTATTAAATACTTGTTATGAGCCAGGCACAGAGCTGACATACCCTCCCTGCAGTATCTCCTGTGCTTCTTATAACAACCCTTGGAAGCAGTTCCCTACTAATAACCCTATTGCGAATATAAGGATACTGAGTTTGGGGGGCCTCAACCATCGGCTTCGTCTGAGTTTCCAGCATGGCCCTACAGTGTCTCCAACTACTGCGCTGAACCTTGGATTTCCTCTCTCCAGGCTTTCATGAGAAGGACAAGAAGCCATACTGCCAGAAGGATTTCTTAGCCATGTTCTCGCCCAAGTGCGGTGGCTGCAACCGCCCTGTGCTGGAAAACTACCTTTCGGCCATGAACACTGTCTGGCACCCAGAGTGCTTTGTTTGTGGGGTCTGTATACTCAGTTATCTCTTGGATTTAGGGGAAATGAGGGGCTCACCTCTCTGTGAGACTGACATGCAGCCGGTCCAAGGGAACACAGCTTGGGGTGAGGAATCAGTGCCAGCTTTCTGAATACCAAACCCAGCATCTGGCGTGGGCCTTTGCTTGTACATTTTGCAAGTGGGGGATGTTCTAGCTGCTGTGTGTAGAAGGTCCAAGAGAATCCCTGCAACATGATAGGTGCCTGGCAGGGATTTCAAGGCTGAAAGGCCTTACCTCTTGACATCTGCCTTGACTTTCTTTCTCTTCTCTCTTCCCCTAGGACTGCTTCAGCAGTTTTTCTACTGGCTCCTTCTTTGAACTGGATGGACGGCCTTTCTGTGAACTGCACTATCATCACCGCCAGGGCACCCTCTGCCATGGATGCGGGCAGCCCATCACTGGCCGCTGCATCAGTGCCATGGGCTACAAGTACCACCCCGAGCACTTTGTGTGTGCCTTCTGCCTGACACAGCTGTCGAAGGGCGTCTTCAAGGAGCAGAATGACAAGACCTACTGTCAGCCCTGCTTCCTTAAGCTCTTCTCAGTGTAACCCCAGCTGAACCTGGGCCCTGCAGAGCCTCCACTCACTCACCCTCGCGATGGGGCCTCAAGTGCCATAACTGACCTTCTGTCCAACAGGCAAATAAAACAAGTGAAGGGGAACAAATCAGGTTCTTCTAGATGCTTAAGGGACTAGGCTTGTTGTCTAAACTTTAGCTTTCTGGGCCTCCCTAGTGGCACAAGGGGTTAAGCACCACACTATGAAGTAATCTGCAGCCACTGCAGCATGAGTTCGATCCCCGGCCAGGGAGCTGCCCACGTGGCGCAGCAGACCTCTCCTGTCTCGCCCACTGTTCCCCTCAGCAGTGTATTTCAGTATATATGTCTGTTCTGCTCCCTGCTCTGTCTCTGGTGAATCCTCTCACCCCCCACACCTCTGGCCTATACCCCAGTTATTTTATGCATAAATAAATAAATCTTAAAAAAAAAAGAATACTCTGCTTTAAAAGAAAGAAAGAAATACTCACCCTCCAAGACTGCTTTTCCCCCAATGAGTGAGTGTGAGTGAGTGAGTGAATGAGTGAGTAGTGACTCATTGTCATGTTTGGAGACAGGCCTTCTATGTTGTATGCTGAGCACTCCCCATGACACACCTGTGTGTCTTTTATTTACATCCACACAATAGGTACTTTTTTTTAAATCAAAAGAAATTTTAAATATAAATTTGAAATGGATTCCTACTCACTAACTTAACTTTTAATTTAGGCTCATAATAGTCATATTCTTTTTTTTTTTGCACTAAGATGATCAGATCAAATCATTTTAAAAGAATTGTTTTTATCACTTTGTTTTCATCACTTTGTTTGCATAAGGAGAAAAAGAAGATCTCCACAGGGCAGGTGGAGATTCATGCTTGTGGATGTATAGCTAGCTCCAAGTGCTTCAAATTGCTATGAAATATTTTCTGTTTTCTTTGTATCAGTTATAGATTAATAAAGTTGTTTAAAAATGAAAAATGCATTTTCTTTGACTTCACAGCTGTCTCATGAAGACATAGAAAGTGACTGTTCCCAGTACATCTCTGAGGAAAGAGGCTGTAAAAGAGCCTTTGATCATTTTCCAGTTTGGATTAAGGCTCCAAGCCCCAAAGGAAAATTGCCAATTATTTGTTCCTCTGCAAAATATTTGTAGAAAGGCACATTTGTAGAAAAGCTGATCATGTTATTAAAGAGCTGGACTCTCTCATGTCCTATTTCCAGTAAACTTCAGAAGTCTCGCAGCCTTAGAAGAGACAGATAAGATCTACATTATGCTTTTCTTACTACAGTCTTAAAAATAATTTCTTGTTATAAATTAAAAAAAAAACAAAGTTATAAAGGAAACCTCTTCACTGGAAGTATTTAAAAAAATGGTACAGAATCTGGTAACTTTAGATGACAGTGGGAAAGAACTTCCTGGAAAACAGATGGATTAAGTGATTCTGGTTAAGCATTGTTACACCTATATCCTTTGTTGGAATGGACGAGAAAGGGATTTTGAGAGATAAAAGGGCACAGTAACAGTTGATTCTACAGAATTAACTGGAAATTAACTCCAATGTGTCCAAGCTCTGGGGGAGGCCACACAGCAAGGGGACCATCTGGCCCTCTGTCCGGTTCAGCTGAGAGTCCCAGACTAAGCAAAATCTGTCTTCAGCTTTTGAACTTGCTTCTGCCACCGTCCTCACTGTGTGATATCAGGCAGGTGTGGACCTGCCACATTTGCAGCTGCCTAGGCAACTTGACAAAGTAAACCTGGGGTTTTAGCCCTTAAGAAAGAATGTCCAAGGGCTAAAAGCTGTTTTTTGGATTAGCTATTTCGAGATTTCAGTAGAATCTATTTTCAAATGTCAGAGAAAAGCCAGAGTCTCAAAGGTGTAATTAAGAAAATTTTGAGTCTTCTTACAAGGAATGTAAGTGGTTTTATTTGTCAAGAAGTGATGCTGGGTCTCCCAGATGGCGCAGCTGGTTGAGCGCCATGCTGTGAAGCTGTCCATAGCCTCTGCAGCGCCAGTTCGATCCCCGCCGGCTGGCGAGAATCCCACATGGCACGGCAGACCTCTCCTGTCTCGCCAGCTGCTCCCCTCAGCGGTGTATTTCCTCAGTCTGCCTGTTCTGTTCCCCTCTCTGTCTCTAATGAATCCTCTCATCCTCTCGCGCCTCTGGCCTGTACCCCAGCTCTTGTATCAAAATAGATGAATCTTTGCAAAAAAAAAAAAAAAGTAATGCTGCCTTCAACTAGTGTTTTAATAATAAGGAAACCATTCACAAGTAAAAGTTCCCCTTTGAAATAAACCAGAAATACTATTACTCAAACTGATCATCGCTCTGCTTAATTTTGGTACTGAGAATCTTCTACTCCGAAAAAGAAAGACACCCTCAGAGGACAGGGTTTTTCCACCAATGAGTGAGTGAGTGAGTGAGTGTGTGTGTTTGTGTTCACCATCACCAAGACAGAATCTAAGTGCTCAGAACACAGAACTCAATTGGAATATAGGAATCCAGTAGAGAATGAAAGAAATTCTCTCTCTCTCTCTCTCTCTCTCTCTCTCTCTCTCTCTCTCTCTCTCACACACACACACACACACACACATACACACACACGAGTACACATATACAGAAAACAATTATTTTCCCTACAAGTTCTAGTCTGTACTTGTCCTGGAGCTGGAGGATGGAGGCCCCATGGCCAGTAGAGGCCGACAGAGTGCCTTTCTCTAGCTCTGCTGCAGAAGTCGGGATTCATCCCAACTGGACTAGCTGGCAGCACATACCCACCAGTCATTTTTGCGGGGGAGGGGGGGTGGAGGGGGGAGAGAGGGAGGGGAGGGAGTGGATTGTGCAGCATGGCTTAAAGCAAAATGGACTATTTCTGGCATTAAAGGCAGGATTAAAATCCTGAAAACACAAAGACCCAGTAAAGGAGATGTAAATACTTAGGAAATCTGGGTACATGCACGAGGGCCATATTGGAACTCAAATTCATATGTTCAAAAGCAAAAGTATTAAAATGTTTCTGAGTTCCAAGGTAATACAGAAGGGAAGCAAGTGGGGAGCGTGTGTGAGAATGTCAAAAGCAGCAGGAACCAGGGATGACGGCAGCTGCAGAGACAGGGGCTGGTGGTCCCCCTGGGGCCCCAAGGGCGCAGCATGAAGAGGCATCAAACAACTTCAGAATGGGGATCTGAGAAGGGAAGTCTTTGAGCTGAAACAAAGGTGAAGTGTGACAACTCTCTTTCGAGGCAAGAGTTTAAGGTATGAACACGTCCATGAAAGGGAAGTGTGGGCTGCATCCACTGAAATATGGAAGTGAAAAGAGCATAGCCTTCCCCAGAAATACCGCGGGGACTGGTTACCAGTTGAAACTCACCACTGGAGGAGGTGGAGGGGTGGGGGCATACAAGTGCCGAAAACTCAGAGCGCAGAGAGAAATGGAAATCTACAGGGATCGACTGGAGAAGGAAGAAATCCCAACAAGGGCTGGTACTTGAGAGCTGCTTGTTGCAGTTTTATAACCTCCCTGGCGGCAGCAATATCTCAGACCTATTCTGCAAAAAAAAAGACAGTTTCTGTAGGAGGTTGCAACTCCCCAACTGTGGGAGCGCCAGGTAAACACATGGTGCTAAATTAATTTCCTACAGGAAGGCATTAGATTCAGAGACCAGGAATTCTGGACAATTGCACAGATTTTGGGGCACACTGGGGAAAACCATCCATCTTCTTTTCTACCTTGGATCTCACCAAATCTCAACAAATACCGTAGTCAAGGAATAACAATTTTGCTGGCTACCCCAGTGCAATGAGGGGTATCTCAGACCACAGGTCTGATGGGATGACTATAGCTGAGAATGAACAGGCCAAGAAATCGAAAAGCACTCTGTGTGCTTTAAATTTTAACTCAGAGGAAGTGAAGCAATCTGATTTTGGATTTTACTGCGTTTATACTTCACTATGCTATGTTGAGTCATATTGGCTCAGGACAGGCATGTGATCTTAATAGAGCAATCAGATTGTTCCCCATGACTTTTGATGGATTCACTGGGAATGAGGTTTCCAGATTTTGCTGGGATTCTAGCTATGAGGATAAGAAAAACCCTTTGCTGCTGAGAAATACCTTCATCATCACTTAGGAGGAAACTGCCTCTGAGAGAAGCTAACACAGAGAACAGTAGAGCTGAGTGATGAGGAGGAAGATTCTTTCACATTTTTTTGTGCACTCAATCCTAGTATATCAGCATGCTAACCCCAAACTGAGAAGTTAAGTAGCAAATAAATTCTTTCTTTGTTTAGACTGATTTGAGTTGAAATATGTCATAAGAACAGGCATATTCTTTCTTGCACAGGCCTAAGAATTGTGAATGAATGAGTGAATGAATGAACAAACCCAGTAGTGGTTCAGAATGTGCATTGCATGAGACCTCCAAATCAAAGAGACAAAAATGATGCTTTTTACATGAAAGCACACAGTAAGACTCTTTGTATTTTAAGTCTAAAGCAGCTATAGTTAGCTCATGTGTCTAGAAAACAAACTTCTGGTTTCCTGTCCAATTTATTAATAAATTTGAAGTGTTTCAATGTCGCTAAGGAGGAGGCGGGGGTGACGGGTGTTATCCTTTGAAGATACAAATATGTGCTAGAATCCATAGTCTACATGTTGCTTTCTTTAGTGCTTATTCATAGAAAATTATTCAATTTTCAATGTTACTGTAACGCTGTGTATTTGTAGCTAAATATAGTTGGAAAATATTGATGTCCTATTTGCAAACAAAAAGGAAAAAACAAATTGGAAAATTATAAAAGCATTGGCTCTACATTTGCCCTGAAAGTTGGTACTGGAAGAGCAGTGGGTTTATAAGAGTTTGAGGGAGAGGAAGAAGACATTTATAGTGATGCTGAGGGGACATCTTAGGACAGTTTTCAGGGCTTTGGAGGCTGAGAGGGATGATTTTCATTATGTCCAACAACACTTGGAAAATATTTTTCTTCTCCAGATGCTCTTGCATTTCCAGATATGAGTTAAGAAATATTGGAGGCTCAAAGGAAAGTCAGGAGCTTAGAGAAAGAGGGATTTTCTTAAAATAATCTAAAACTTTTGAAAGAGAGGGAAATAGGTGTGAAGAAAATTAGAGGATATATATATATATATATATATATATATAAGGAAATTTGTGAGTTGGGAAAGTGCCATTTCCAGAGCTTCCAGCAAAAGAGGAACCTGAGAAACTAGAAGGCTGTGTTGTCCCACGCTGTGAGGGAAAGAAAAGTGATGGTGTGTGGAGGTAAGGGGAGGGGATCTGTCACTTAATCCCCTGCTTGGCGAAGCTATCACTTATCCTGGAGTGTCTCTTAATTTGGTTTTCCTAGAGGTGGACCCCAAAACTAGGAGTGGTGCAATTGTCTATTTAGGAGGTGATGTTTGGATGAAGAGTTAGGAGAGTGGGAAGTGAGATAGCAAAGAGACGCAGGCCAATTCAGCACTCGTGAGGACCTCTGGGCTCTAATATAGAACACGTGGGAAGCCCACCACCCCCAACCACCTCTGCTTCTTCTCTGCCCTGAATGCCAGCTGGCCAAGTTGTGACCAAAGAAAGTCCTAAGTCCCAGTTCCCGTCATGTTTAATAGGAGGCACGAGCTGTGAGTGCTGACAGATGTAGGCGAAAGTTAAGGGAGTTAAGAAGGGGTGAGCATCAAAGAAAAAGTTCACAGCAATAGTCTTCACATCACTGATAATCACAATACTTTGGATGCGTGGTA